GTTTTCTTTAGATAAAAATAGAGAATGTCAAACAGGCTTGAGTGCTGAAGTAAATGTAGTATGAAAATAAACTAATGTCAGATGCAGGAACAATAAGTGAGTAAAATTCTAATCAACACTTATCTTCAGTTACAGTGAGTGATCACATCACAGCTGATATTGATAAAAAACTATAACTCAGTTTGTTTGTACATAGACATAAAAAAACAAACAGAAAGCTAGGTAAACACTACTTTTCAAATGAGGTTGTAAAGTAACGTATTCAGAAAATAGATTAGTCACTCTCAAAGTAATTAAAATAATAGTAAAATGCTTGGAAAGTCCTTCATTCCTCAAAGTTAAAAAAACACAAAAACACTAAATGACATGGTCATAGAGAGCTACGAGAAAACACAAACATCTCTAGGAAACTGAAAATCATGACTTGATATAAATCTAATATGTTATCAGATTGTGCAGTAGGAACCCTTGCAGAACAACTAGTTTGATTCTAAAACAGTTTGTCACAAAAAAATAAAAAATAATCTAAGGGATAAAGACTGAGTCAGAACAGAGAAACATGTAGTCAGACTTGAATGAAATAAATACTGTTGCATTGCATTAAGGTCACTGCTTGGTTTGTAAGGCATGAGTTTGTCTTTTGTTAAAGCTATCTATATGTACAAAAGATGCTGTTACAACCAAAATTGGGAGAACAGAAACTGATGCATGTCCTCCTAACAATTATACCAAGTAAAATACATGGTCCATACATGAGAATTCACTAGAATAAATAATGTGCATGTGGCTGAAGAAAGATATGCATCAGCTCGTAAAGAATGTACAATTGTAGGCAACACAGAAGCCAGGATAAAAGATTAAAGACAAGTTGATGCTTAATTTGCACTTATAAGCTATGAACTAGAAGAGGCCACAATCCTTAAGATTGTTCTTGATGATGACATCGGTGACAGCATCAAACACAAATTGGATGTTGTTGGTGTCAGTAGCACAAGTGAAATGTGTGTAAATTTCTTTCTGGTCCTTCCTCTTATTAAGATTTTCAAATTTCATCTGAATATAGGCGGCAGCCTCCTCATAGGTTTCAGTCCCTGCAAAATTTATAAAGTAGACTTTACAATATAGATTCAAAACTGTACATGGATATGGTTACAATATGGTAAGTGGCACTTCTGGTATGGCACTCAAATTTATATTGGTGTAAATAATGGAAGAATAATAACAAAATTTAATTCATAGCGACATACCTGTATACTCAGGGAAACAGATTGTAAGCGGACTCTTAGAAATTTTGTCTTCAAACAGATCTTTCTTGTTTAGAAAGAGGATAATTGAGGTTTCAACAAACCATTTGCTGTTGCAAATGGAGTCAAAGAGCTTCATTGACTCTATCATACGGTTCATTTCCTCATCTTCGGCCAGAACTAAATCATAACCTGTATAAAAATAGATAAATATGTAAGTCTTATCGTAACTTTGAGACATTCAAACCAACAACTCTTTCAAAATACAGTATCAGACTTACCTGAGAGAGCAACACAGAAAATGATGGCAGTCACTCCCTCAAAGCAGTGGATCCACTTCTTCCTCTCTGAGCGCTGACCACCAACATCAAACATTCTAATAAAGACAGAACAAAAGATTAGTTGGTTACCAAAGGCACATAGGTGTCATAAAAATGTGACTTTCAAAAGCCTTACTTGAAATGGAGTCCCTTGAAAGAAAAGTGAGTTTCAACAATTCCTGTCGTCTTTACCCTTGTGCGCAATACATCCTGCTGAGTGGGTACATAGCTTGGCAAGGAGATGCGGTCGAGGGCATTGAGATAATATGCAGCAGAATCATTCAATTGATACTCCCTTGAACGGGAGAAGCACAGCTGAACACCAGCATCTTGCCATAAACGTTTCATCAGCAAAACTAGCTCGGGAGTCAGTTCACCTTCTCCTGCTTCACTGGCAAGAGTAAAGAACTGGCGGGCAAGTTCCTGAAATAAAATGTGATTTGGGTGGATGAGCAGTTTTTGTAGGTTTACAATAGTATTAAAATATTTAATGGTCAACAAATACTCACCGTCCTTCCTGGGTCAGCAAAGTCTATCCGCAACTGTCCCATAGCTCGAATTATGGCCATCAAGCTTTGAATTGTGTTACTGTACACCACTGGACGATACTGCTCGCACTCTTCCATTGAATATCCTGTTTCATGTATTATCTTCATCTGTTTCACAATTGTGCTTTTACCAGATTCACCAGCACCTGTAAAATTATGAATGAGATTAAGAACAGATTACCATATCTCCCAAACAAAATATTAAAACAGATTGAAGTAGAGAAGCAGCATTTTTAATCACATTAATAATTGGACAATACGTTTGAAATAGAACCAGCCACTACACGAAAGTAAGTTTAACTTTGAAATATCTACAAAAAGTTATCTTAAGGAAATCAGTACACGCAAAACTTAAAGCACAAAAAGGTAACATCCTCGAGGAGAGCCTGCGCAAGTGCATTGGTCGCAGACCAAATTCAAAGGAAATGATATTGCTGCAATACTGAAGCAGCTTTGTGTTTAAGGGTTTAAAAGCACGAATCTACGGCGGTCATGGTGGAGTTGTCGAATGAGGAATCAGAAGCCGCTACGAGTGGGCGAGTACTAGGCGGTCAGCAACTGGTACTGTCACTTTCACTCACCCAAGAGAAGCAGCTTCACTTCTCTGGCCGCGCGCTCCCCGTCTAGCCGCAGGTCCTTGTCGATCTTCTTGGACCTCTCCGCGGCCAACTTCTCGCCGGCCGAACTCACGGCGCAGCCCATCTTTAAGCGCAAACTTGAACCAAAAGGCTACTTGTTGCTAAAACCCGACCCCAGTGCCTCCGCCCTGGTACCCAGCGCACCGCACCGACTTCCTCTCTGCCACGGTGGAGTGAGAGAAGGTGGCGGCACGAGGGTCTCCCAGCATAGGGACCCGTGGGTCCAGAATCTCGACAGGTTGGGGGATTAACGGCCGAGTCGGGGCTATCTAACGTGCCGGTACAGAGTACCTGCAGTCGGGGCGGCCTATGCAGGTACCTGGGCCGCCCCGACTTAGCTTGAGCGGCACCGACCCTCGCCCGGGCTCACCCGGCCGGAGTGTGCGAGAGAGAAGTCAGGTACGAGCCCGTCCCGCGCAAGCTGGGTCTGGGCTTCCCATCTACCTACCTGCACGGCGGCCCCGACTGAAGGTAGTGCGAACAGGCCCTACAGTTGGCCCCGACTAGGGCGTTAATCCCCCAACCTGTCGAGATTCTGGACCCACGAGCAGACCCCTCGTGCCGCCACCTTCTCTCCCTCCACCGTGCTCTCTGCGAACGTGTTGGCCGTCGAAACCTCCGTCTGCAAAAGCGCACGATTATAGAAGCTCGACTCAGAAAAAAGGATTCGCACACTCTTGGACGATAATTTGAGTCCGCTAAACACCTACAAACAATAAAATTTGCGGATTGTTGACCCAACTCGCAGCAGGCTCACTGTTGACAACGCTACCCTACAAAAAGTGCAATGGCTGCCAACTGCATTAATGTTTTATCGAGAAGCCTAACGGTTTCGGTGGCCTTCCATGTCAGTGAAATTAAGGAGAGAATTCGTTGCATCAAACCCCAATTTCATTCGAAGTTTTCTTCCAGGCACAATAAAACCCCCAAAAGATAGAGGAAAATATTTGACAGTTGACTTTAGACTTCAGAAGGATCAAGGAGGCCTAGTAACCTAACCGCCACCGTCACAACTGCCGCTGCCGCCCCCAACCCCTCCCCTTTCTTGCCGTCTGCTGCAACACGAACACGACAACTTCTCTGAAAGGAGACGTGGTTTATTTGAACCGTCTGACCTGACACATCGGCGAAAATGGCAATGAATGTGACTACATATTTCAGGACGGCATGTCTCTTTGTTTTGACACCGCAATGCTACGACGAGTTTTTCGTGAACTTTAATTTTCTACACGGTAGGTACCGCTCCGCTGTTAACCATAAATTTTATATAGTTTGTTTATGATGAAGAAGCAGGTTATGGTTATGCTCATTTTGAAAGAAACACTGTTAATTCAGTCTTTTACTTGGTTCTTACAATAGTACCCCATATTAGAAAAGTTACTCTTCTTACTGTCATTCAACACTTTTCACTTTATTTCTCTTTTCTGACCGTTGAGGATAATTGAGAAATTTGGTTTTGAAATCCTCTTGGAGCTCCTAAACTTTGACCCCTGAGTCTATTTCAGTGTGTAACAAATGAATAGCACAAATCTTTGTAGGTGCATGCTAATGTGAAACACGTTTGGATGTACAGAAACACATGCTTAGTTTGTGCGACTGTCTAACTGCTGACATCTGCCCTACCCTTCGACAATTCATTATTTGACGGAATAAGAAAAATCTAAATTCATACATTTCCTCCTTTTAAGTAGTGGTGTCCCAAAAACCCAAGAATCGCTTCCCTACTAGTCTTGTCATTCTTGCTGAAATTCCCCATGCCCACAAAAGCATACAGTGCTCTAAACGATAGAAAAGTTTGGTTGATAAGATTTTTTGTTTACATTAAGAACAGTCAAATCATAATACATCTTTCATTTTTTTTACCGTGCCTGATGATTTTTTACGCAATTGTCTGTGTCATTTCAGTTCCCTGCTTAAAGGCCGCTCTCAGTAAAGGACTTGGATATGGAATTATTTTGGGATCTGTTATGGGTGAGTATCTTTCCTGTTTTACTCTTGGCTTTAGAAGATGCATGTTTGTCAGTTGTGTTTTGTGGTTTTGCATTATTGGTCTAAAATCCTCAGGTGAGGAGGATCTGCGGTGCCTTAGAACATTCCCTCCCCACTGCGCTCCCTCACCTCTACTGTTCACCCTCCTGTTTCAAAAGAAGTGATAACATGTATCTGGTCCTTGTCGATTTACTGTACAGGAGGCTACCTTAAGATTTCGTAACCATCATTGTAAAAGGGTGTAAACCGTGTGAAAATACGCCGGGTCGCCGGGCCGCCGGACCTCGCCCCGGCCGGGCGGGGTCGCCGTCGCTACTCCGCGCTTCCGGGGCGCTGGTGCGGCTCGGGGTCGCTAGAGGGCGCGCCCTGCCGCTCCGGCCGCTGGCGAGACAGCAGAGGGAATGTCCTGCGCATTGTGCGGATTGTGCTAAGGGATTTTAAAGTCCGAAAATTTTCCGTCAAAGTTGAGAACTTTCCCAGGAAAAATATCAGAACAATTTAAAACATCTACCCTCACAAATAATTTTTAAAAATCCTTCGGGGAAAAATTGAAAGACTCAACAAAAAGTTCTTTAAAAATATCCCTAAAAGATTTTTCCGGAAAATTTGTGCTACGGTGGCCTGTCAAACTGGACGTTGGCGCCTCGCGGGCCAACATTACTGACCATTTGTTGCGTATTGGTTTCAGTGAAAGTGCCGCAGATCCTGAAGATCACCCGCGCGAGCAGCGGCGAGGGTATCAGCCTGGCGGGGGTGCTTTTGGACCTGAGCGCCATCACCGCCAACGTCGCCTACAGCTACGTCCTGGGTTACCCGTTCAGGTACGCACTCGCGGCATGAGTCTTAAAGTAAAACGTGCTGAAAAATGTATCCACAGGACGGCGATTTCTTGAAAATTTGCAACGAGAAATAATTTGTTTGGGAAACCGACGACGAATGCAATGCAACAATTTGTATGAGGGATCTGTGATGTGGGCGGGACAGGGGGGACAGGTGGGGAAGGACGGCGGCTGCCCACACC